GCTGAAGGAATATTTCATGGGGGTGGGATTCTTACTTGGGAGGCAATGCTATTTCTCAACCAACCCAGTATTCATTATTCTGAGTTGGAGCAACTTTTCAGGATCTCCCACAGAGAAGATTCTGTCACCTGCCTGGTCTTATTAATTGGAAATAGCAGGGACTGAAGCTAGGCTCTGCTCTGTGCAAAGCACATCTTCCACAACTGAGTTATGTTCCTTCATACACTATAGCTCTTGTAGCAAGGTGGCTTAAACTTGGAAAATGTTTTATTTTGTACTGGAACTCCCAGAATCTTCTATTCAATTTGGCCACAGGCCTTGCTGGCTGGAAGATTCTGGGAATTTTAGTCCAAAAAAAATTACAATTATAGGCTCTGGCATGACTTGAATTGTGAATCAAAAAATTCATAGTTCACATCTTATCTGTGCCATGCAATTACTGAGTGGTTTTCAAGAAGCCAAAGGCCATGCCAACATCAGAGCAGAAGTTCTGACCTACTTTATAGGACTGCTGTAAGGAGTATTGAGATAATGTACCTGAACTTCTTTGAATTCTCTAGGGTGTTATGTAATATTTATTATGGTGTATAATCAGCAAATACTACAATGCATCATGAAGCTTGACCATCTATAGCATTTTCTTTTCCATATTCTGTTGGAATACACATCGTCAAAACCAGTAAACCTGAAACAATAAAGACATGCCAATCAAAAATTCACTTCATGTGTTTCCCAGATCTTTGGGCTACACATCCTATGGCAGTTAGATGGTTCTTGTAAAGGAGAATGATAAACAGTGCAGCTGTGTTCTTCAAGTTTCTCATAAATATCTTGAACTTCTGACTTGTGGAGCCACAGCAACAGTCTTTGCTTTGTGAAAATGCATCAGAAAACAAAAAATAATGATAATGGAAGATCTATATGAATTCATCCTAGATTATGAAAATCTTGAAATAGTCGAAGAGTACCTATACCTTGGATCAAACCTTGATCACAGTAAAGACTGCAGTCAATAAATCAGAAGAAGGCTAGGAATGGGAAGAGCAGCTATGAAGGAACTAGACAAGATCCTAAAGTGAAAAGATATAACACTGAATACTAAAGTTAGGATCATCCAAGCCACTGTATATGCCTCATCACTCATACAGATATGAAAACGGTGAAGAAATAATAATAATAATAATAATAATAACAACAACAACAACAACTTTATTCTTGTATCCCACCTTTCTGCTAGGACAATCAAGGTGGCTTACATAGAGTAAAATAAATTTAAATAAAACATACCTTACAATAAAACAATGATAATAATACTAATAATTACCCCCTCTTTAAAATAATTAAATACAATACTAAAATAAGAACATAGTATTAAAATAGCAATTGTTCTGGGCCAATAGTGGATGTATAAAGTGGGGAGAGCACAGAGTCAGTTGGACTGATCTATTCGGGGAAGGCCTGCAGGAAGAGATCTGTCTTGACAGCTTTTTTAAAGCTGTCTAAGCTGGTTATTTAATGGATCTCTTCTGGCAAGGCATTTCATAATCTTGGAGCGGCAGCAGAAAATATCCTCTGGAAGGTTACTGTTAATCTGGTTTTTATAGGTTGCTGTAAGTTCCTCCCAGAGGACCTGAGGGTCCGGAGTGGATTGTATGGAAGGAGGCGATCCCTTAGAAAGATTGGACCCAGGCCATGTAAGGCTTTAAAGGTAATCACAAACATCTTATACTGTGCTCGGAACCCAATAGGCAGCCAATGAAGAGATTTCAAAATAGATTTACTAGTGATCAACCTGGCTGCCATATTTTGTACCAATTGTAGTTTCTGGACTAGGGATAAGGGTAGCCCCATGTAGAGTGCATTGCAGAAATCAAGTAGTGAGGTTACCAGTGCATGCACTACAGTTTCTAGGTCACTTGTTTCCAGGAAAGGGTGCAGCTGGCATATCAGCTGAAGCTGATGTGGCGAACAGAGGTCCAGCTGGCCAATCAGGAGGCAGTTGAGAGCCAGCCAATGGGAGTTCATCTGGGAGTAGTTTAAAAGCCCAGTTGACAGTTAAAGAGGGTAAACTCTGAACACACACAAAGCTCTGGAAAAGAGAGTTACTGTGGTGTTCTTCCCAGTTAGATATTATTAGCCAGAGGGGCTGAGGTAGTGTGATTGAATTTGTAACATATGTTATAAGTCTGTAACTAAGAAAGATTATAATAGCAAGTCCTGAAACAGGTTACCTTTATTGCATGTTGATGTAAAATAAACTTTTTTTTTTATTCCAACATCACTTGGCCTCTGTTTTAGTCACAAAACATGCTACCAATATTTTGTTATTCTGGAGGAGGGACTACATACAAAAGGCAGTATGAGTCCCTGACACTTTACTAGTTGGTAGAAGTGGGGATAGCAAGTTCCCAAAGTACAGCTAGCTAGAATTAAAGTGTAAAAGTAGGAAGGTGGCAGTAGTGTGCTCCACAGCTGATAACAGGTGCTCCTGGCTGTCACATAGAGAGAGTTGATAGAAAGAAAACCACTTCTTTTGAGAGTAATGATAGGCGGAAGAAACATCAACAATCAAAGATATGCAGATGACATTATACTACTGTTATAAGCATTGTTTTAATTTTTTAAAATTAAAAAAAAAAACCTTTCGGGGTCCCCTGTCATGGGTCTAAACCAGAAAAGCCCAACCACCATGGATCCAAGGTGAGGACCTCACGTAGGCACCTGAAAGGTCCCATCTGCCTCTACAATAAATTAGCAGATGAAAAGGCCAGGGTTAGGAGCTGCAAAGCAAGACATTCACACCTAGAAGATTTATGAGTACCAGCCAGGATATGTCTAGCTGAGGATGAGATAACATCAACACCCCATCTCCCCTCTTTGGAAATTGTCTACTTCAAAGAGTATCCATCTGGAATTTTTTAATATACAATAGCAAATCATTGCCTCAGGCTAGGTTTAAGGGTATAAAAGACCCGGAAAATCTCAGGCACATTGGGTCTGGTTAGATTTCATGGTAACTGCACCACTGTGAACTCTGATGGGTCCTGACTCTTCCCATTGCCCTTTCCCTTTCATAAACAGTTGAGTCTATCCATCTTCTTTCATGATTGGAGCAATCTCCATCAGGTAATTATCACCATTAGAAAGCCTTCTGTTTCCTATCCAAGCTAACTACTTTATTCCTGAGTTCTTGTGTGCTTGAGTGAATGTTAGAATGTATGTTTGAATCCCCAAATAAATCACAGACTCATTGAGAAGCCTTGTCTCTATCAATCTATTTCCTAGCCACCTCCGTAAACATCTGCTGATTAAAAAAAAAAACCATTGGAGACTTGAACTTTTAGCAATTCCCCAGGTTCAAGTTCTTCTTACACTAGCAATGGAAAACATCATAGACTTGGAACAATTACTAAGGAAGATCAAAGAAGAAAGTGCAAAGGCAGGCTTGCTACAGAACATACAGAAAGCAAAAATAATGGCCACAGAGGATTTACATAGATTCAGTCTAGACAATGAGGAAATTGAAATAGTTAAAGATTTCCTGTTCCTTGGATCAAACATTGATCAGAACAGAGACTGCAATCAAAAAATCAGAAGAAAACTAGGAATGGGAAGGGCAGCAATGAAATAACTAGACAAGATCCTAAAATGTAAAGCTATACAAAAGTTAGAATCATCAAAGCCATTATAATCCCCATCACCATGTACAGATGTGGGAGCTAGACAGTGAAAGAAGCAGATAAGAAGAAAATCATCTCATTTGAAATGCTGGAGAAGAGTGCTGTGGATACCATGGACAGCCAAAAAGACAAACAGATCACGGCTAAACTCTCCTGCAAGTCAGGATGGCTAAATTGAGGCTGTCATATTTTGGCCACATCATGAGAAGGCATGACTCACGAGAAAAGACAATGATGCTAGGAAAGGTGGAAGACAGTAGAAAGAGAGGAAAACTGCATGCCAGATGGTTAGACTCAATCAGGGAAGCCATTGAATCTACATGGTTTAGGCAGAGGAGTGGAGGACATGAGGTCTTGGAGATGTCTCATCCACAGGGTCTCCATGATTTGAAGTTGATTTAAAGGCATTTAACAACATTAGTGATTCACTTCTTCATTTTCTATCATCCACAGAATAGGTTTCCAGAAACTTCTCAAAAAAGGTTATAATTCCCTCCATTTCTCAGATCTCCAGAGAACATTGCCCTCTGGTGATGTTTGATAAAGTCATTTCCTTTACTTTTTTATATTCCCAGTGTAGAAATGATAGTAAAACTATTATTCCTTGCCCTGGAGCCTGTCCCTCTGCTTAATGAGCAGCAGATTATTAAACATTTATTCCAGTTGTTTGGAGCATAAACTTCTGCTCCAATTCTGTTTAGCATTCTAGTCTCCTAGGAATAGTGAGCTGAAGGTGGGAGGGAGGATTCGCTTGTAATGCACATTCCTTAATATGACCAATGTTCTACATATTGCCACACAAATCATAAAAGCTGCTTCATCAGCAAATAAGTTTTCAGAAACTGAATTCTTTAGAGATTTAAAGTCATTGTGTTTCTATAGGAACATAAAATTTATTGGTTAAGAACCCTCACCACAACTACTTCTGACAATGTCACCCTCCAAAAACTACTGCTCTAGTCTCGAAGCACTTCATCAAAGGAGTTTCTGGGGCACATCAGAGTTGTGGGACATGACATCTTTAGTGCTCTCCCAGCCTTGGGGTACATTGAGAATAGGCAGCAGGAGAGACCCCTTGGGATCCAGTTGCAACCTCTTCTCTCAAAATAAGCCACAATCAAGAGATTGTTCACATTTTACCATAAGATACAGACTTCTTGTTGTTGTATGCATTCAAAGTCATTTCCATCTTATGGCAAACCTATGGCAACGCTATCCCGGGGTTTTCTTTGGAAGATTTTTTTTCAGAGGGGGTTTACCATTACCTTCCTCTGAGACTGAGAGAATGTGACCTGACTAAAATCACCCAGTGGGTTTCTATGGCTGAGTGGGGATTCAAACCCTGGTCTCCAGATTCCTAGTCCAACATTCAAACCACTACACTAAACCATGCTGCCTTTTATATACATTTATATACACATTTTCCCAGAAATACACTTTTATGTTGAGTAATCTCAAAGACATATTTATGTATGCAATTTGGTATATTTGTTTGCACTGAGAACTGTGATATAAAATTCCAAAAAGTGTGAAAACCATGGGAGAACTGTCTTCCAATTCATATATTATTCTGGAAAGTGTGGATCAAGTCATCATGCTTAAAAAGGCAGACCAGATCCACCCCCCTGTTTAATATCCCTACTTATTGTCACACATTTCACCCCATGTAATTTAGTTTGTTTTTTTAGTGACATCAAATCTAAACTCTCCAAAATGACTAAACTATTGTACTGTAATGATGCTATTATACTTTGGACAGATTGTAAGATAACACTGAGGGGGGAAGCACACGAGAGCTTCCCAGATGCCGCCGGACGGGGCGCCGTGGGACCGCAGCCTCCGCACCGTGGCGCTCCTGCGGCGTCCCTAAAAGGAGCTCCAAATTGGCGCTCCTTTTAGAAGACAGGGAAAGTGCGCCCTAAACGCATAGGGTGCACTTTCCCTGCCTTTTCCGCCGCAGCGCATGCGGTCACTGCGGCGGGAGGTTGCCCTCGGAGCACCGGCCATGCAGAGGGCCGGCAGCTCCGAGGGCAACCTCGGGAAGAGGAAGGGGTGCCGCGCGTGTGGCTGCCCCTCCTCTTCCAGGGCTCGGAGACGACTCTATTAGTCATCTGCCAAGGCCCTGAATAACTCATTGGAAAATATTGTAGTCACATTATAGATGGCCATGTTACAAGTGGATTGACCTAGCCATGGAAGTCATGGCACAGAGTTTGCAAGTCCTGAGCAGGGCTATTAATAACAGGGTCACCTGTAGGTTTCTCTTTTATAGGGTTGTCTTAAGTCACAGCAATTAACAGTAATAAAGGCAGCAAAAACAGGAAAATTGTCAAGACTTGGGAAGTCTTGGTGAATTACTTTGGTGCATCACTTTGGGACATTATGTTTAATATAATGTTATGAGGAAAAAAATTCATTGGATTTGACAGGATTGATGAAAATAGGCTTCCCACCCATCCTGAGCCGCATGCCAAGAAAAAAAAAATGCCCACTCAATGAGTCGTATAGATCATTTTAGAGGCAAGAGGGATATACAAAATCTTACACCTATTGTTAAAAACCAATAACTAAAAACTGTGTGTGCACAAACATGTTTTAGTCACTGTACAAAAAGTACAGATTGTGACTACATCAAGAAAAATATATCATTAAATGTTCACCTTAGAAAAACGTGTGAAATACATAAGAATTTCATTGCAGGGGGGCAAAATCTTGTTTTGGGGATTGAAATATGAATGGGAAGAAAGTGTGGGTGAGATTCATGGGGAAATATGAAGCTATACCAAGTATGAGAAATGTTCACATCCTTAATCACATGTTTTACAGACATGATTTAATAGATTTCTCATGTGGCTCTTGGTGATCACAGTGTGCTGCCTAACACAAGGAAATCCAAACATGTAACTCACTTGTCATTTTCCTTCTTGTACCTTTGCAGAGGCAACTGTTTTAAGCTATGATGGAAGCATGTTTATGAAAATACAGCTCCCTGTGGTGATGCATACAGAGGCTGAAGATGTGTCCTTACGGTTCAGATCTCAGCGAGCTTATGGCATTTTAATGGCCACAACATCGAGGGAATCTGCTGACACACTGCGTTTAGAGCTGGATGCAGGACGCGTTAAGCTAACAGTCAACCTAGGTAACATTCCTCCCAGCTCCCATCCTAAAATTAACATCTCAAACATCCTTTCTTGTCTTTGCCTGCAAACATCTATTCAACAGCCTGTTTGCCACTGGAAAAAAAAACTGATATACATATGCAACTTGTGTGCATATATATGTACATGTAATATGCATATCATTGTATTTATTTTAATTTTATGTTTATCTTTGCACACTCCACCATAACCTACCACAATTACTTTTGAACTGCAGTCTGTTCTAAACAGAGAAGACCAGATGTCAGTGGCATTAGTGGGGAACCTCGATTTTTAACCTGGATTTTCATCATTCATACCCAGCAAACAGCATTTAGACATAGATTCTGATTGGTTAGATCATTCAGCATAACAGACAACAAATGCACAACATTTTTTTTTTCACTGCTAGGAAAGCTCTGCTGATATATTTGCATTGTGTGTGCAAATCCAATTGCTAAATCTAATTGCTATTCCCAACTAGAATAATCAAATCACAGAAACATAGAGTTGAGAGAGACCACAAAAGCAATCCTATCCAACTTCTGTTATACAAGAATAGTCAATGCACTCCTGACAGATGGTCATCCAGCCTCTGTTTAAAGATCTCCAAAGAAGGAGACTCCACCACTGTCCTAGGCAGCATGTTCTACTGTCAAACAGGTCTTACTGTCAGGAAGTTCTTCCTAACGTTTAGGTGGAATCTCCTTTCCTGTAGTTTAAATCGATTGCTCTGTGTTCTAGTCTCTGGGGTAGCAGAACACAAGCTTGCTCCATCCTCAATATGATATCCTTTCAAATATTTAAGCATGGCTATCATACCACCTCTTAACCTCCTCTTCTCCAGTCCAAGTATACACATCTCCCCAAGCCATTCCTAATAGAGCATGTTTTCCAGACCGTTTACCATTTTGGTTGTCCTCTTTTTTGAATTGTGATGCCCAGAACTGGACTCAGTATTCTAGGTGAGGTCTGACCAAAGCAGGATAGAGTGATACTATTACTTCCCTTGAGCTAGACATTATACTCCTATTGATGCAGCCTAGAATCACATTGGATTTCTTTAGCTGCTGCATTACACTATTGGCTCATATTAAGCCAGTGGTCTACTAAAACTCCAAGATTCCTTTCATGTGTACTTTTTTCAAGCCAAGTGATACCAATCCTATATCTGTATTTTGTTTTGTTTTCTCCCCAAGTGTTTTACCTTATATTTCTCTGTATTGAAATTAATTTGGATAGTTTTGGCCCAGCTCACTAATCTGATAAATTCATTTTGAATTCTGATCCTGTCCTCTGGCTATCCCTCCTAATTTGGTGTCATCTATTAATTTGATAAGCATGCCCCCTATCACATCATCCCAGACATTTATAAAAATGTTAAATAGTTCTGGAATAGCACAGATCCATTGAATCAATAGGATTTACACAAGTGATTTACACAAGTGTTGCTGTATCTAGCCACACTTGATAGATTTACTCTAGTTGGAATTAGCAATTGGAAATTAGGCCAAAGCTCCCATGTAGCATAGGGTCAAGATTTAAAAAAATAAGCTCTGGCTATATGCTAAGAGATGGCCAAAACACCTGGCATCTTAGTTACCAAGAGAAGGAGATATACATACTTGTTATTTCTTTCTCACAAGCAAGAATGGAGAATTTCCCTAGTTTTCTTCTCTCTGGGTAAGATTATGATTTTTTGGGACATTTTCCAATGATTTTGTTCACAAATTTGGACCTCTTATGACCATTTTAAAGCCAAAAACATTGCAAAACATTATTTCTAGAGCAGAAAACATTGTGTTTTTCAAAGCACATACTGATTTTGCACAGTGAGGTGGGTTTTATTATTTTTTGCACAAGTGAAAATTTCAGAAAATTCACAAAATCAAAAAAAAATACATCAATTGATTATACTTTTAATGGAATGTCAAGTGTTGAGACATCTTTTCTTATCAATGACATGAAAATTGGCCAGTATTCTTTACATTGCTGTGGAGGAGTCTAAAGTCATCATCACAATGCTTTTCTTTTCATGCAGGTGGAGCTGTTTTGATTTTATTGATCTAAAATTCTACAGCTTCCTTTAGTAGATTGTACAAGTAAACTATGTTTTCCCCCTTCTTAACTTCTCCCTGCAAATGTATCATCAAAATAGCTTCCATTAAAGCAAGTAACCTATCTAACAATTTGCAATGTCCTATGCAATTTTCACCTAAGATGTTAGTATGGAGGCAATATGTGCAAGCTGAGAAATCTACTGTCTTTAAAAATTAGGTAACAATAATTTTGGCTTCTTTTGGTCTTCTCTATATAGCAGTCTGGCAATATATACCCGTCTTTCACCTCCTTTCTTTTTCTTTTTCTTCTGTTTTTAAAGAAACACAAGCCATGGTGATATTGTGTGTGTACATGTGTACATGTGTGTGTGTCACAACTAACACAACCCTTCAATGCCCAAAGTCTGCGGCCCTCAGCAAACAGCCCTGCGAACACAAACTACATAAGCTCTTCTGCAGAAATGAAATCATGCTTTCCTAGGTTTTTGTACCATTTAGATGATCAATCGCTGCTCTGTTCATTCAGGAACTTAATGCAGGTTTGCCAGAATGAGTTCCTTTTGTGAGATTATTTTCTAGACCTTTTGTACAGCATTTTTAAAAACTAGCTCTGAGGTGATTTTACTTTCAAATTGCAAAAGGTAGTGGGGCAGACTGATGTATTCAAAACCCATTTTTGAGGAAAGCTAGGTCATTGAATTTTGATGATGTTAATTAGATTTTGCAATAGGGAATTTATACATATCAAACAGGGAAAATCTTCTTTAGCCTCTTTAGCTTCACACAGAGCCCTCTGGTGTAAATTTGGAGGTACAACAAGCTGATACATTGTTTCAGTTGACAAAATGGCAGCAAGGTAGAACCCAGTAGAGGGCTCTTCCAAGCAAACTTTCTGTAGAAAGAGGCATGTAGGTAATGATCCCTGGCTGTTTGCAACCACTTTTCTGATGCGGTTGACGACACATGACAAACTCAGCTACATGGAAACAAAATCTAGGTCATTTTCTTTAAGAAAAAAGACACATCTATATTTATATATTTATCTCCTCATGGGTATTACAAAAGAATTTAAAAAAATGCTGGTTGTCTGAGAACAATATTTTGATCCAGTCTTCCAAAATTTAGTACAAATAAAGCATTATCCTACAAGTAAGCAGCAAAATATTGCCTCTTGTTTTTAAAAGCCTTATTCCCTAT